AAAAAAAAAAAAAAAAAAAAAACTAACATTCTAATTTTTGTTGCACCTGGCTTCTTCCTTGGCCAGGTGCGTGTTGTTGCATGCAACATCCTTCCTCTTTTTGCTCTGCCCTCCCCTGAGAACAAGGAGGGCAGTTGGCAGTTTGGGAGGAGTAGGACCTCCGCCTCCCAAATTTCACGTTCCTCCCTCTCTCTTTCCTCCAACCAACTCTCACAACCTCATTTCCTCGCGAGCATCGTGAGGCGCGAGATCCGAAATCTCGCGGCCTCAAATATTCGATTTGAATTGGGGTGGGGAGCCTTTCTGCTCCCACACAGCCAAAAAGGCTGTTCTTTCCCAGCCACGAGGTAGTTGCCTTGTTTCGGTGTTTTTTTTTTTTTTTTTTTTTTTTTTTTTCCAGATTTTCCCGTTGGCTTTATGCCAACGGTCGTGCAGCGTTCGTGGGCTCACCCACGAATTGTTGAAATGCAGATCCAAGTTCGATCCCTTTCGGGATCGATAAAAAAATTTGGACCATTTCTCGATTTATACGTGTCATCCTTGCGCAGGGGCCATGCTAATCTGTGCGGCCTATCTCGGCCGTGTGATCTCTTCGATCGCACGGTCGAGATGGACCGCGCTCTCAGTGAATGAGGGCTGCTCCAAAAAGGAGCTAGCCCAGTTGGGCGCATGCGGTCAGGCTCGATCCCTAAGTCTGCAGGGTAACAGTTTGACGACGGTACCTACTGGGCTAGCTCCTTTTCACAGGCGCTAAGCTGCACTACTTCTATATGAAGTGGTGTACCACCTAGTAGGCCCTACCTGGTGTGCCCAGCCCCCTTCTGCTAGCCGTCTGCCCCTGCCTGCTTATCCCTGCAGGCTTACCCTCACCGGTTAACCGAGTGGCCGCGGCTTGGTCGGCCATCGAACCGGATAAACCTTGGTATTGGCCTATCGGCCCCCAGGCTCGAAGTCAGACCCCGCGGCCCTAGAAAAAACAAAAACTTTCTACACCTCCTGCGTCGTGGCCCTATACCCCGTGGCAACCCTCTTTTTAGCCCACTTAGGCCCTGAATCGCGCGGCTATATTATAGGTAGGATAGGTTTAGTTTTAGCATTTCTTTATCCGCACGTTCCTGTTGCTTCGACAAAAGCGTAGCCTTTGTCGTTCACACCCGATACCCCCAGACGTCACATGCGTCCGGACTAAAGTCCGAAAACTCTTAGTTTCTCAGTCATAGGTCAGGTCTGAATAAACGTTTGGCAAACGTCAGTCTCATCAAGTCCTTCAATTCAACGCAAGAGTAGGACAACGTCCGACGTTCAAAAACACCGGCAAATACCCTTGTGAGGGTTTTTGCCCCGACAGCAATCCCAAACCCCATTGAACAACGTCCGCGTCGTTCACCCTGTATTAATCAACAATATAGGGCTCTCTGGATTCTTATGAAACTTTTTTCAATAAAATCTCTTTCAATCAAAAGTAAGCTGAAACTTATCACATAAACCCGAGTCATTGCGTCGGTAATCTACATTTCAATCATCCTTGATTGGAATGGTACCAGATGTAGCCTCTTGCAAGCCTTTCACTAAAACCTGAATTTATACCGGTTCAAGTTCCGGAACCACTAAATTTTTCAAGGAACTTTGTCTAAATAGTCCCAGCATCATCCCACTGGCGGCAACTCTAAACATTATTTAGTCTCTCAGAATGGTACCGGAAATAGCCTCCGGCTAGCCTTGTAAACCTCAGTCGGCTAATATTTACATTTATCTAAAAAAAGATCAGGTTTAACCGCCTGACGGGTATTTCAAAATAAATAACCTCCTGAGCGGCCCAGACAGAATCTGACCAACCATTCATGAGAGAAACCATTTATCAAAAGTCATTGTCCAGGTTTTGTATCCCACTCCAATTAAGAGTTACCATACATAATATTCCTGTATGCATTGTGATATGCGTCGAGGAGTGGTGTAATCCGCAAGGATAACATCTCGACGTCAAGCCCCGCTTTAGGCTCGAGCCTCACCATCTTCCCTCCGATTCCAGTATCAGGTGCTTGCTAGTCCCCTACCTGCGAGGTTGAACTACCCTTTCTCTATGACCAAGGTTGGTCAGACCCGGTCATAGAGGCGAGGCGATCCCATTCATCACAAGGCCAAGGTGACCACTCTTTTCGCCATGACGAGCGGCAGTCGTCACCCTCACAAGCAAGATTTCGACAATCACAATAATACCATCCTCCCTTTCAATGATAGTGTAGCCACCTTCCTTAAAAAAAGAAAAAGTGACAACATCCCACTATGGACCAGGAATTAAGTTCCGGCGTAGGCCTCACTACCACGTACAGGGCTCACTGCATCAGGACTCGTCATAACATGACAACTAAAAACATTACGAAAGTTATAGGCTATGATAATTTACAACGAGAATATACATCAAATAACAACATACATTTTCACAGAGAGTTTCATAACATTCCAGTCAAAAAATATTCATAAATTTGAATTGCATCACATTTCATCGAAAAAGTAACAAGAAATCATTCTAATTTAGGAATCGACAAATTTTCGATCCAAAATCACCACATAATTCCACGAACAGGAGTCGTAGAATTTATTAATTATACAAAAACATAGAACCATAGGTCCCAGAATTAAAATCAAATCCCAAGAATCCAAAGTTATAATTCCCTTGTCTGTCCTCAGAACTAGTCAGCATTTAGTGATCCCAAAAGAAATAAAAGAGGAAAAGTTAGTTCTGAAAAAGAAGTTTACAAAAATAAAAACCTTTTTTTAAGTCTTTGGAATAAATTTTCTCAAATGCGATCCCCACACCCAATTTCTACCTCGAGCCCCATCCAACTCTTCGATCTCATAAGCCCCATGCTCAGATTTCTTGATAATACGATAGGGCCCCAACCATCGGCTGTCCAATTTCCGAGACCATTGTTTTTCCAAGGACGAATCATAAAGAAGCACAACATCCCCGACTTTCAATGATTCCTTACGAACACGAGGCCCCTTATCCCATCTTTCCTTGTCAACCTGCCTACTCTCTGAAGTAGAGGCAGCGGCCTCCTCAATCCTTTCCTCAATGATCATCACTTGTCTTGCCCTCAATTCCAACAACTCCTCCGTTGAACGCTTCGTTTCTACATCCTGCTTTCTTCAAGTGGTAAGAAAACTTTCGATCGAAAAAGTTGCATGACGCCCAAACCACAATGTGACTGGAGCGTATCCAGTTGTCCGCTTTATGGTGACATTCTCAACAAAGAATGTCGTTCTCAGATATATCGGTCACCTTGACGGATCATCTCCGCACCATTTTGCCAACAAATTTGTTAGAGTGGCATGTCCACGTTCAACTGGCGCATTGGCCTGGGGATGTGCCCTTGTAGTATAGCTAAAGCTTACTCCAAGTTTCTTCAGAAGCGTCTCCACTTCCCCATCCCGAAACTCACCACCTTGATCGATGACAATTTTCTGGACAAATGGGTACCGAAGATAATATTTCTCAATGCGTTCTGCTAAAACATGCCCAGTACGCTCACGAATGGCACAGCCATCAACGAACCCAGTCAGATTATCTCTTGCGTTGAAGATATATCTGTACCTATTTATCCCAGGTGGCATGACCAACAGATCAAGGTGTACTACTGCTCCTGGCTCAGCGATATAGCGTGGATTAAGAGGTTCGACAAAACGCAGATTAGATCGCCTTTGGCAAGGAAGACAAGAGTTACAGAAGTCATTTACCATCTTGTTCATTCCTTCCCAAAAATAAAGATGTTGAATCTTTTTCAAAGTGACTCACGCCGATCTATGTCCGCCTGCGACCCCATCATGCAAAGCTGCAAAGTTGTCGCGTAACCCCACATACCACTCTTCTCGGAATATCATCGTTGGATTTCTTGAAAAAATGACCATATCTTACAACAAAATCCTTGTTTTTCTGGCGAATAGCTGGATCTACCTCATCCTCCTTCAACTCACCATTCAGCCACATTCTCATTAATTTATACTCCCCATCATACTCTCCTTCTCTAAAAGTTTCTCTGATCTCACTGCCTTCTACTTCTTCATTCATCATTTTTAAGCGGTACTCGTGAATTAAAGAATTCACAAGGAATGACATATGTCCAGTGACCCTGAAAGTCTTATCAGCCTGCTCATGCCCATACTCAATTGTCAGCGGCTCTTTGATGAGCTCGACTTCATCTGATAAAGCCAAGTTCATCATTTCCTCTGATGTTCTTTCACCTCATGGGTCTTCCTCAATGAACGACTCCCCAATCACAAGCTCTGATCGCACATGATTCTCAATCCGGTTTGTTGTATCCGCCAAATAATTGTATGAGTTAATACTCAACTGTGACTCTTCTCCTTCGAGGAATCCATCCACAGGAACTGAATTCTCAGCCTGATCCGTCGTTGAGTCCCAATCAACACGACTCAATCCATCTGCTCGCTTCTGAGTGTCTGAAATGCGCTCAATTTCAAAATTGAACATTCAAATATACGTCATCCATCGAGCAATGGTTGGATCAGAAGGAGAATAGTTCTTCAGCGATTGAGCCAGAGTCGTAGGATCAACTCGCAGAATGAACCACCTACCAAATACATAATTGCTGAAAATGCGCAGACAGTGAAGCACAACGAGAGTTTCTTTCTTGAACTGGGAGTAGTTTCGCTCAGTGATATTCAGAGTTCTGCTCTCGAATTTCAATGGTCGTTCTCGTCCTTCCCCATCCTTTTGGACCAAAACTTCTCCCAAAGTGGTAGGACCTGCATCGATCTCGATGATGAAAGGACGACCTTCAGCATCATCAAAGCAAGGAACTCCCAGAATCAGGCCGCCTTCTCGAAACTCAGCTTTAATATCCTCAACGGTTGCCTGCTGCTTCGGTCCCCACTCCCAGACCTGGTTCTTGCGTACTAACTTCCGCAAGTGTTCCACCCTTGCTGCGAATCTGCGGATAAAAATACGTCAAAATCCGCAAGTCCCGAGAAAACTTCAAATGTCGTTAATAGATCTAAAGGGAGTCGGTCACTCCAAAATCTTATTTGTCTTCTGGGCATCTGGCCGACGACCCTTCTCATCACAAAGGAAACCCTGTATTACCGCCTTCCTCATACCATGCCTTGATTTAACCCCACTAGCTGTGAGGTTATACTCCTTTAGTTTCCTCAGAACCTTTTTCACATTGTTGATGTGTTCCCACACGAACTTTCGAACGCCGGGTAACACTTCAGTCTCGTCCTTGACTCGGGGTCCTGGCATAGCCAAGTCATCAATATATGGAGAAGTCACGTCTGGACAAGTGGCTACATGACTTTCATCATATATCTCTGCACAATCGTCACGACATTTGTCCAACCTTGCGGAGCCGCGCACATATGAAGCAGTCCCCGAGGCGTATGCATCGCCGTCATAGGTCGATCCACTGTGTACAGCGGGAACTGATCGTACCCTGAATATAAATCAATTAGGGTGATGATGGGTCTGCCTGCACAAGATTTCGAGAGTTCATCGGCGTTCGGAAGTCCGCCCGCATCTCGGACTGTTACAGAATTTAACTTCTGCAGGTCCAGAACCCATCGCAAAACACCGTTCGGCTTGATAAAGCAAAACCAAGGAGACGCATACGGCCCATACGAATAGTCTTCCACTATGGTCCGAATCTTGCCATCAAGATAATCCACCACCTTCCGGTGATCGTCCGGATTCGGATATCGTGGGCCTCTCACATTCCATGATTCATGCGGTACCGTATGAATCCGGATCATTGGAATCATATCGACGTCCAGCCTTCCACGCTCATCATCATCAAAAACATAAGCAAGATGAACTTTCTTCATAACGTCGATAAAGAATTTGATTTCCTCCTTAGTAAGGAGGTCATCCTCTCCAATGATCATCTCCTTGAACCTGTCATCCGTCAATCGATACGGCCTCTTCTTACCTTTCTCCTTCAACGTTCTGATCCACTCGCGTTCTTTCTTATAATACACTTCCTTTCCTGAGTGATCAGAACTGACACTGATCGCGCTTTCTCTCCTACTTTCTTATACTTCCTCTTGGACCCAACGCTGAGTTTCCGTCCCCTAAAAAAGACTTTTGCCTGGCTGATGGCAGTGATTCCTCCATGCAAGATTCATTTGGTTGATAAACAAGATGCATGGTTTCTGCACCTTCCTTGTCAACCACAGCCTCCATCAGGGCATGTACCAGGCTCGGATCAATTGTAGGATGGCTTGCTGCAAAATCGACTGCCTGTGAGATACTTGGCAATGTCAACGAAAACTCTTGAGGATCCCTTTCTTCATCGATCGCCTCTTTCTCCCTCCTCAACTTCTCAGACTCTAAGAAGGTATATGATTCGGGATTCAACCGGTTCCTTAAATTTGCTGGTTCGGTATTCGCGCACTTTACCACTTCATAATAGCCGCAAACCGGATCGCACAAAGCTACAAACATGGTATCGTCATGCTTGTTGAAGATTATGCTCTCTGTGCGACATTGAAAGGACCTTCCCAAAAGCACTTTGTGTTTAACCTTTGGCAATATATAAAAATATGATCTCGCTTTTACCTTCCCAACTGTGACCATTACGCCACTAACCATACCGCAAAATGGCGTTGCCCCGCTGACTCCAATAAAAAATCCAAAGTCATTGCGATTGATCTGAATCCCAGCTTCAATCGCATGTCTCTCTCTCATGATGTTCATTTCGGCCCCATCATCTACGAAGGCAGAGAACTCTTCACGGCCAATTTGAACTTTTATGAGACCCGTGGCCACGCATCGCCAGTCCATCTTCGTGCCAAGAGGTGCCCTGTTAGCTTCTGGAGGGATGATCTCACTCAGCTTGACTGTCATGACTTTCTTTCGAGTCATGCGCTGCTTAAATTCCTCGCGGAGTTTCGGCGATACTGCAAGAATCTCCTTCAGGGTAACCAGATCACGCTGACTTTCCAGAATACGATCCACCAGCTGTTCAAAATCAATCCCTTGTTCTACAGGGATTGAGTACACGTTCTTCTTTTTGCGAGGTTCTTCTTCCTCGACCTGGGTCTTCCCTGCTTCCGACGCCCTTTCCATAGCTCTCTGCTTTGCTAGTAGTTCACCCTTTGCTCGCAATCTTTCATCCTCCTCATCATCATCCCCTTCTTCTACCTGAATAGGTTTTTTTTCCTGAGGTTCCTTTGAACTTTCTCCTGGCGCAGGCTGCGATTGTGAGGTCTTCCTTCCTTTCCTCGTCTGCACCATGACGGTTGGCATCCCTCGCTTCAGTATAGGTGTGGACATCATCATTAGTCGTGTCATCGGCGTTGCTTCAAGTGCCGAAGCGGCCACAGGTGCTGACCCGTCTTGACCTTCGTTCCCCCATCCACCAAAAAGGAACACATTAGGAAGATTCGGACAGACTTCTTCCATGTCAACACATAATTGAACAATGGAATCTCGACATTTATCCAGTTTCTTGGTCACTTCTCGCGTCCGATGAGCAATGTCTTCTTTCCTTTCCTCCAACTCTTTTTCGTCACACCCACCAATCTCCAAAGAAGCCATTGTTTCTTCTAATTCAAAAAGGTTTGCTTCTTCAGGAGAAGCTAACCGGAATGTAGCCAGAAGAGGACGGCCCATCCGTCGAAAAGCCTCTTTTCTCATTCCTCCTTCAATATCCTGATCGATGAGATTTCCCTCGAAGTCAAAGACTTCTCCTCGAATCGTCGTGAAGACGATATGGTCCTTCGCGTCCTTGGCGAGAATATGGCAGAAACGAATAACGTGTCCCTTCATATCGCAATATTTGCAGACGTATTCCTGCCAGTTCCCACGTCTGCCTCCATTTCCGCGGCCTCTACCACGGCCTCAACCACCCTGTGGTTGAGTATGTTGACCTTGATTTTGTTGTCCTTGGTCAACCTGTCGCTCCCTGCTTCCATTTCCTCCGTTCTTGATGTACGTTGCCCTCCTCATATCTGGTTGAAGGTTTTTCTCTCATCCTTGGTCAACTTACGAGGGGGTTCCCTTTCCTCCTCACTCTCACTCTCACGCTACTCTCTTCAGTGACAGGCTCCTTCCCTTTTCTCTTCCCAGTTTTCGCCTTGGCCATCATCACTTGAAGTTTTAACCGTTCCTCCTTCATACTTCTTATCATTTCCCTCATGTCAGATAAGGTCTTATAGACCTCCTTGTCCTCGTCCATCCCCAACTGTAACCGCTCCCGATTCTCCTTCTACTGTTTCAGCAGCCGATAGAGGATCTGGTCGAAGTCCCCGACCAATAAATTCTCTCGAAGTTTTGGCCAATTATACCTTTCTTTCATGCCTTTCATCAACTTTGACTGTTCCACCTCCGTGAAATTATCCAGGAAGATGAGGCAACGATCTTTATCTGGAAGGTCAGGAACTAATTTCGCCACCCGCTCGACTTCAGTAAGGAACCGCTTTGTTGTACCAAAGCTTTCCCGACTAACCTTCCTCAAATCGGTCAAGTCCAACAGTTGATCGCTCAACTGGTACTTTTCTAGCAGCTTCTTTTTGAATTCTGCCCAGTCCAGCGAATCTTATATCAACTCCTCCACCTCTTCCTTATACTAGATCTTGCAGTATCTCTTCACCATTCGCAGCATCTTTTCATTCGACCATTCGCAACAACTTCCCAATTGCTCGAACTTTTCTGCCCATCTCGAGGCGTTGTTACCATCAAACAATGGAACGCCAATCTTCGGGATTTGGTCCTTCTAGGACTGCTGAATAAGTCTTGCAAGCTCCCGAATGCCATTGCTTCTCCCATCCTGATTGTCGTTGTTACTAGCCATCTTCAGTGAAGAAAAACAACAACATTATTAACAGAAATCAGTCAATTCTTATAAATAATATCTCATAATTTTGGGATCAAATTACTGTCTTTTTATGAGGTCAAACAAGAAAAAAAAAAAAACTTTTTACTTCATTAATCACCCAAGTGTCGTTCCGCTAGGGACAACGGTAGTTTGCCGCTATCCCCGGCAACGGCGCTGTCGAGCGCATCGGCCCTCGCGTGAAAAACGAGGGCCCTCCCGGCCATGTCACGCAGGAATTTACCTAAAACACAACATTAAGATACAACTCAGAAACGACGCATATTGTTTCGTGAACTGCCGAGACGGATGCGGTTGCTTTGCTCCTTCGCCGCTCTAGCCGGGTGCGCCAGCTATACTTCTCACGGTCCCCTGCGACAGGACAGGTTCCCACAGGGCATAAGCTTGCATCCCTAAGGGGTTGTCACCACCCTTAGGGTCGTATCCCTACCGAGCTACTGATCCACGTGCGAAGGCTTTTATGTGCAATCGCAGAGGTAGATCAGCCGAGGGCGTTTGCTCTTCTCGCTGCAGTATAGGAATTGTTTGACTAAACGCCGAATGAACCCGTGCGTCGTTCGTTCCCTGGGGCGCTGATCTCCAAAGTACGAAGTGTACGCCGGTCGACTAGGACATTCTCAACCAAACGTGAAAACGATCCTAAGTCCCTAGCTATCAAACAACAAAAATCCCCATACTTAAAACAAAATCACACAATCCAAATCGTTGACTTGATGAGCTGGTCTGCCAAAGTGTCTCTTTTTCAACCTGTATGACTGAACGAACTTTTATATTGTCGTTCCAAGATTATTAATTTAAAGAAATAAACTAAGAATGGTTTTCTTATCATGACTACTGAAACTTGTCATGAATAGCTTCTGTAAATAAATATCACTGACACTATGCAGATCAACAAGTGATATGGTTTCTGGTCGATGTTTGAACTCCCGGTTCGACCGCGCTTCCGTACCATATTCAACTATTTGGATGAGCAAATGACAACTTTGTTGGTCGCTTTGCCCTCCTGAACAATAATTACTATTTCTGTTTCACGAATGATGGAGTATCAATCTCTAATGCCAAGTTACGCAACGCAGGAATATTTCATYTTCCGCTGCTTTGCTTRRCARCTTTTTCAGACGTTCACTTTTCACTCTATCCAGCTTATTTTTATGCGAACGATTACCCCTCAATGCATAAGCATGATAGTGAAATCATYRGGGTAATCCGAATACTATCCATCCGGCGGTCCTAACTACATAAAGCGTTTTGTTTTTGTTTTTAGATTACCTCGTGAAACCATAAGTTATATGGTTTCCTCAACGGGACTGAGTCCATGCGAAGTGTTTTCTGAAATCTGAGTAAGATTTCAGAAGACGATGTCTAATCCTGGTAAATCTCTCGCCCGCCGCGCACCTATGCCTCCAATAAATCCAAACGTGTCAGCTCATCGTCGTCGAAAATCAAAGTAGACCTTCGTCCACATCACATGACTCTAACAATCCGAATATTATAGAAGGAGGTCATCCGAGAGGCTAGGCTCCAAACTATAACTCGGAGAGGTCGACTAAGTCCCAACAGGTGTCGAGTCTCTGTGTCCTGGATCCGGATGACGCCGAAACGCCTACCGGACGAGGTAATCTTGATACTCACAATGACTCGAGAGAGGCATTGCAGGTTACTCGCGCGGTGGAAATACAAAGTATATTCGTAAAGCTTGTCGGGAGTCCGAGCCGTATTGGCTCGAAAATCCGTGCGAGTATTAGGAAAAAATCCCTCGCCATTTTGAAGCAGTCCAATTGAGCCGAATCAGTTGATAGGAGATTCATCTCGAACTTGTAAAAGTCGCGCTGCACTCCCGATGAAATCCTCCTCGTGTGTATCACGGACCAGTAGATACCTCGGGATCGTCAAGTCTCGTCGTGCTCCAGGCATCTGCGTATCTGAACGAGTCCAAATTAGTCATGTAAAAACTCCTCGAGTTCTTCTGCTTCATTTTCCAGTTCATCATCATATAACGCTTCGGCTCCTATAATAGCGAACCTATTGGCACGTATCCGCTCTGCGTAGTATATGCCAAAGAATGGGCCTTGTCGCTCATTTAGCCAAAGCACATAACGAACGAACGTCAACCTTATTTCCGGGATCTCGTCCACCCGTAGATTGAGTTCGTATGGCTGCAATATCACCAAGTTCATATTAACGAAGTAACGTTCGGGCAATGGCGGTGCGAACTCGTAGTGAATAACATCCGAGCCGGCCGGTCTCCTGAAAATAAGTCGTATGGGAGGTCTCTGCGCACTGCCATCCCAAAACCGCGGAACGTCCTCCTCCGAGTACATCTCTGACAGGTTATAAACAAGTCGGCCTATCCTTTCTACTATTTCACCATTACGTCTTTGGATTTCAACCCTTTCGGCCACCGAATTGCAGTCGTAGAAAATAAACAAGTCCATGGATCCCGCAGCCATCTGAAAGAAAAAGGAAGACGAATGTGATCAAGTTAAAACTGAGTATCACTTAAAACATTTATCTTCCTTCTGGCCCTTGCTTCTTATGGCACGACCAACCTCGTCAGGAGTATCTAAATGTACTCCGTTCAACTAGTGGAACATGAGTCGGGCTGCTTGTGGCGCCAACTCTCCATACGTTAGTGGTACCTAGGATGACCATTTAACCAAGATTGCTAAGGCAGTTTTTCTTTTTCGCAAGGCGTCAAGAAATAAATTTTCTTCCGTGTGGATGTCTTTTCTATTACCCTAAGAGGTGGTCTGGGATACTCCTCCTCGCCCGAGTACAAAACTCAGATCTCAGAAGTCGGGCCGTCTCCACCGAATCGGCATAGTACCCCCCCACAAAGCGGTCCACTCTGAGTCGATAAAAGGGCCGGCCCCTAAGGTAACGAACCCCCGCCCCAGATGCCTCCTAGAAAAATGGAAAAACACCTACACAGCAGACAAGTAGAGTCTTGCCGCCTAGCGTCAAAATAAACTTAGACGAAGAAAGAGGAATCGTAGAAAGATAGAATCATTCAGACTGACCGGGATAGATGGAAGAGGGTTATCCGGGAAAAAATGAGTAACCTCAGGAATAAGTCTAAACTAAATTGAATTTATCTTCCTTATGCTCGCTTAGTTTCTCATCGTCTTCTTTTTCTTTTATTTATACATAGAATACAAGCACAAAGATGAAAAGTCAACCATTCTTTCTACATAGAACCCACACAGACCACCATGCAATCCTTTTCCATTGTCAGACACACTGTCATACACGCAAACACACACATTCACTTTCCTTTTTCAATGAACATTCAGTGAAACAGGTCAAAGCAAGTGTGGGTTCATTCATGTGTGAAGGGAACTGAGTCAACTTAATTCACTGACCTTGAGTGAAATTGAAGAAACGGACCACTCAGGAAGACTGTGTAAATCACACTCCAGAGGAGACGATCGTCACAATGAGTCGCCCGCAAAACAGTCCACACCACTCCTTAGAACGATTGCTTGTCGCAACACCCTGTGTCGCCGCCGTAAAATTTTCGCAGCGCTCTCGCACCACAGCTGGTTAAACCGGAGTCACCGTCGAAAGATTCCGACAGCGCTACCGCACCACTG